GTGATCTGTGGCACTTCATTTCCAGCCAGAGAACAGAACTCACATGTCCAGGACTTGAGCAGCCTTACCCTTGTATTTTAAACCCTTTAAACCAAGAGAACAATGCAGAAAATCCCAGAGGACACATGAGAAAGGGGGTTGTACCTAATCCCTTTATCATTTCTTTGCATTTACTTGCTAACAAAATATATTTTTCTTTAGAATGGCCTCTGAGATTTTATACTATGGGGTATTTGGTTTAAAATATACTGTAACCTTCCTCTTTTTAAATTGATCAGATCAGCCTTGAACACTCAAAGAAAAATCTGCCTGCTCTGAATATTGCCTGAGGATTTAGAAAGGTCTTTCTTAGAAACAGAAGAACAAGATGAAACAATTATCTGTAAAGCATGGTAAGAGAGAAAAAGAATAAAGGAACGAGTTATGTCTGACTTGTCTTCTTCCAAGAGACAGGGATTTTTTGGTTTTTTAGAGTAGACTTCAGATGTGGGAAATTTGCAGTGTCTTGCTAGAACGAGTTTCAAAACACAAGCAGTTTTCCTCCTGCTCTGGTAACTTGTAGACCAAAGGAAGTCTTTGTTTTGGCAACTTGGTTTGCAATCAGACTGTATTATTTGCTGCTTCAGTTGTAGGAGAAACTTTCCTAATGACAGGTGTCAATCAAATAAATGTTATCTTTCACCTGAGCAGAAGGAACACTAAAATTTCAACGGTGTTATTAATAAACAAGGAGCCAAAGGATGTGATCCCTTACTCTGAGGTGTCAGTCACACCTCGATGGCATCTGCTTGCAGGTGTAATGAAGAAAGATTATCATTGCTGTAAGTGACTGCAGTGACTCTGGCCAGCAAATAACAAAGGCATTGTCGCAGTGACCAGCCCTGCCTCCCAGGTGCTGACACTGTTCAGTGATATCTCTGTGGGATTTGGGTCCTCGTTTATGTAACTGTGGTTGTAAACCAGAAAAAAAGACCCTTCTTAATAATTAATTTCATGCCATTCTCTGCACTTCCAAATGGAAAACTCAGTCATGACCAAAGTCAGCTTATTTGTGCACTGATGAGTTAGAGAAGCAGCAGTTAAAGACCTTTAAAGCAATGTCCTTGGTTTAGTATTGACAATGCAAATGTTGGCAATAAATTAGTTTCTCCAGAGCTGATTTTGGATCCTGATGAGTTGAAGGAGGAACGAGCCATTTCCTGTGTCCTTTGGAAATGTAGAAATAAAATATTCTTTTAGTATTCCAGCTCTTCCTGGGGTGCTAGCTGCTGTTGGGAATTGTACAGAATCCAGAATCCTTCTGTGTCTGTCCTTACCTTAATTTGTAGCTGCAATTAAAGGTGTGTGGAAGGAGCTTGGATGTGTGGCCCCATCTGCACAGAAAGGGACAAATGTGAATAATGAAACGGACCAGCCTAGTTCTGATAGAGCTTAGCCAAACTGAGAAGCGAGGAGACTTCAAGACCTGCTTGTCTTTTATAGAGTACCAAGCATCCCAAAGGCTGCCTTGTTTAGCTGGCACTGACCCCTGGCTCTCCTGGGAAGGGCACTTCAGTGTCTGTGTATGTTTCCAAGACTGGAAAATATAAAAAGTGCAAGGGAAGTTTTTGGCTTTAAAATCCTTTTACCATCCCCAAATTTCTGTTGTGGTCATGTATGATGCAATACAGAGGTGATAAATTCACCTGCAAGTGTAAAAATTCTAGGTTTTGCTTTGGCTTTCTTGCCTTCCCATATTCCATCTCAGTCCAGAACAAAGGGCTAAATCCTGCTGAAACAATTAATCCCCAGGGGATGGATGCTATTGTCTCTAATGCACACATAAAAGTCAGTCATATCAGCTGCAGATGAAATCACAGATGAAATCTTACTAATTAATTGCATGAACTTTGTTTCTGCCTGGTTTGATATTCTCTCAGCCTTGCAGAAAGATCTGGGCACCCATACTGTACACCTCAACGGGGCTGTTGATTTTCCAAGGAAGACTAACAATTTTTTTGTGCCTAAAATAGCCCTGCAATTACTTCTGCTCGCATGGTTTTGCAGTTACAAAATGGTTTCTGAAAACTGGTTTTGTTCACACGTGATTGAAAAGATGCCCTACGTTGTTCTGCCAAGTTAGGCACTGATTCAGGTTTATGACCATATCATTAATATTTTAGTACTGCATCAGTAACTGGTTGCTATTAATATGTAGTGAAACAGTGATATAAAAAGGGAGATGTTCCCAATCATTTGGCAGAATTTGCATTACAGCTGGATGAAATTTATAACACATCTCCTGCAACCTACCAGTCTGAACTCCTGTTATTAATTTCTGCTGTGTTTATTTCTCCTTTATGTTCACTTTGGGCGATATTCTATCAAGTTTCCTGGCAAGCACCGCAGTGGATATAGCTAATTTCAGCTGACTGCAGGGGAAGGACTTTGCAGAAAGTGAATTTTGAATTAGCACTAGTATTTGCAGCAAAAATCTCCCCCTGAGAAGCCTATTCCCCTCGGCCTGGCGTCAGCAGCACTTAAGTGCATGTGAATGGCCCTATTGACTTCAGGTAGGCAGCTGTTTAATTACCTTCCTGAATCAAGGCCAGCCAGGAAACAACTCCCAGCGCAGACCTGGGCGCCTCCTCTCCCAGTGCTGGACTTCTGAGAGTGACCCACGCGCTGTTTGACTCGGTAATTTGGCAAATCCTTTCCAGCGGAGAATAAATTTGAGGAAATCATCGTCGGGCGCGCCAAGAGGCGAAATTTGTGCGGTGTATTTTTCATGACGAGGCAGCTATTGCCCGGATTTATTCAGCCTGCTTGGCTCTTCCTGTTCCAGCAGCCCCAGCAATGCCATTTTTTTCCCCCCACATTTTATTTAGGAGCTGAGAGCTGACAGGTCTCTTGCCTGTGCACCAGGAAGGCGGCGTGCTGCACGCAGCGTGCTGCACGCAGGAGCAGCAGGATAAAGAATGACATGCTACTCTCTGAGCCACAACTATTTTTTTTTTTCCCGGCTCGCATCTGCTCTTGTCCCTCTTCTGTTCTCAGATCACTCTTCAGCTTCCCTTAGGAATCCAGCTGTGTCATCACATTGTGTGGCATCCTAATATTTCATACTAAGCTGTAAGCCAATTAGGAATGACTACTTACCATGCTGAATCATAGGAAGAGAAAAGGATAATGTGTCCTTCATATAACGAACCTCCTCTTTTTTGGCAAGACAGATCACCTACACCTTATATTTATAAGCCCTGTGGCTTTTCACTCTACCCAATTAGGGTGCAGCTTCCACTCACACTGCTGCAATATTTTAAGGGACTTATTTACAGATGGATGCTTATTGAAAATGCTGACCTGCTACCATTGTACCTCATGGCACCTTTCATCTTCAGAGACTGAAACACTGGACAAAACTTGATGTTGTAATCACCTTTAACAGGATGAGAACACGAGTGCAGCAAAATATAAATACCTTGTCCTCAGTTTCTAAATGAACTGGTGACCTGCATGAGGGTATAACATTATCACATGCTGCACAGGGTTCAGGGAGATGTTGATTAAAGCCAAACTGTAAAACAAAGCCTGTTAACATCTAAAAGGCAGAAGAACAAACCATTGAGGTGCATTTGGGAACACGTGAATTGTTTAGCAATGAGCATCAAAGATATTAAAATATATTTCCCATGCTGAAGTAATTAATGGGCTATTATGCCAGGTGTCTAAGCTGCTTAGGGGTCTGGGATAAATTGCATTCCAGCAGAAAATGTGAAGTATAATTTAAATGGAATGATGTTAGTTGTGGTGGGGCCTTTAGGATGCCCCCTTTCCTCCAACTGGTGTTTCCTTTTTCCAAGCTGCTTAAGGAGCTATTGGTGGTGTTTATTGTCCAGGAAGAGATGCACTCATTGCCAGGTCTTTGGACCCTGGCAATGTTGCAAACTGAAGACTCTGGGGTTCAATTTCTGCCTCGCTGTTCACATCACCTTGGTTTTCCCCCCAGATACCTCTGGGACAAAGAAGCTCTCCCACAACCTGCCAGACAGAGCAGTGGTGAGCTGAAACACCAACATGTGGGGCTGAAAGCCCAGAGCCAGGCAGCTGTAGGGGATCAGGGAGATCTCTCTGCTTTCCAGGGTAACCAATCCCACCTGTGCTGAACCCAGTAGAGGGCTCAGATCCACATGGTGGGCGCTGAGGGTAAGGTAGAGCTGAGGATGTTGCAGTACAAGAGCTTTTGCAAGTAGAGGATGAAGATTTATGAGATTTTTCTTGCTAACAGAAATCATGAGTAAGTTGAAGTTAGTTCTGCTGCAAAGGTTTTGTGCTTTATCTGGAATAAAACTTGTTTTATAAACATGAGGGTTTAGAAACCTTTTGGCCTTCAAGAGAAAATTGCCTGTTTAGGAGCTGTACCTTTTGTATTGTTATTCAAAAATGTCTCAGTTAATCATTAGTAAAGGCCTTGCTAGCCTGTGTTGCAAATTTCTTTTTTTTTTAAATGCAGCGTGTATATAATTTATAAGGTTCCTCTCCACATAGATAAGGATTCATCTTAAATGTCAGGGTGGGGGAGGAAAAGATACATGACCCAGAGGGCAAAAATATTGAGTGCACTGGTGCTGGACTTGACATTCCCCCAGTATTCCCTGTGATAACATCAATCTCAAGGAACCCTCCTGGTATAGATACAGAGCTGCTGTGCTTAATATGTATTTCCAAAGGAATTTCATAGTAATTGAGCATTAAATGATGTCCACTTATTGTAGTGTTACTGTTTTTATTAAAAATTATAAATGGGCTGTAGCAGAACAGAATACGCCAGATTCACACCACCATCTCTATTAGTCTTTATGCTGCAATTGTCATTGGCCAGCTTTACTGCATTATTTTTAGGTGGTTCATAATTTCCCTAGCTGATCAAATGAAGATTTGTGAGCAAAGAAAGGCACTGGCTGATTTCTGTAGTGCCACTGATTTTTATTCTCCTTGTTTCACAGAACACACTTGAAAACCTCCCAGTGTCTGTGATGAGCACCTGGAGGAGCTGGTGTGGCTGGAGCACGTGGGCTGCACTGGGAATCCCAGCCTGTGGAGACAGAGATGCCAGAGCTGGCCTTGGGATGGCCCTGCTGGATGTCAGGTATGAGCTGGGCAGGTGGGATTTGGGGTCTGTGCCCAGTGCAGGGGTTACAGAACCACTACAAACCTGCTGGCACAGGAACCACTGACCTGGGGCTGCCTGAAGGGAACGGGGCTCAGTTTTGCAGCCAAAGAAGTGCCTGTGTGGGCAGCTGTGTCTCATTGCACAGCATTTGAGTGAAATGGTGGCAGATTTCCATCCGTGGAGATGTTCAAGGCCAGGTTGGACAGGGCTTAGAGCATCCTGGTCTGGTTGAAGGTGTCCCTGCCCGTGGAAGGGTTGGATCTAGAGGATGAGCTTTAAGGTCCTTTTCAACCCTAATCAGTCCATAAATCTATGAAATATTGGCATTTCCCTTCTCTACAGACAATGGTTCTGGTACAGGGTACCAAATCACCCACTCACACAGCCTCTCCTCACTGGGGGTTTCAAACCTTTTCAGGTTTGAAGAACAAAACTAAAGTAAATGTGATCAAAGTTTGGTTGAGTTTGTGGGGAATGTTGGTTATTTCACCTTGCTACTTTGTGTTATCTGGGGATGTTTGCACATTACAAATTGCTGAAAAATAGGTTAACTGAAAAATGGTTTCTAAGATTGAAGGGAATACGGTTTGAAAATTGAAAACTGATGTTTATTTGCAAAATTTGACCCAAATATGTTAATTATTTTAGCCCTCCCAAGATTATAAAAGAGGTCATTAGGTGTTCATAGCAGAAATGATGTTATAGAACATTGCTACTCTATTTTATTGTCAAATAAAACTACAAATAATGAGTCTGCAAGAAACAGAAGGGAGACCGTGAATGGAAGTTATGGCAAGATTCATTATTTTTGTGTTTGTTCTTGAGGCTTGAAAGAAAGTGCATGTGTGGCTAGAAATACAGCTCCTTCTGTTCTTCAGTCAAGTCTGGTGTGGTAGCATTTACCTCTTACATATATGTTTTATTGGATTTTGATGCATTATGTAGTTCAGATTAGTGTTTTGGCTTTTTAATTAGCAGGAATTTACTATGGCCTGTTTGCTGCTGGTCTCTGCATTATCTGTAGAACACAGCCCATGGGAAGATGACCAGGAATGCCTAAAACCTTGTACAAAGCATTAAATGTTTTTTTTGTATAATGAAAAAGAGAACAAACACTCACACCAACACATGAGTTTCTGTGAACTTTCTGGAGTTTTCTTACAACTCAAAAAGGGAAATGCCTGTCCAGGCATTGGAAATGAAGGAAGGTATTTTCTGACCATGGGAGAGTTACAAATGCATCCCTATCTTTGCCCTAATTGTTTATTAATGCAGCCAGTTCTCACACAGCCCCTGCTCCTGCTGAAAGCCACAACTGTCCTGTGTGCTCTGGTTTGGATATGAAGTGACAGCAGTTACACAGTCTCACTCCACAGACCAAACTTTTCACACAGATCAGGTAGAAATGAGCCCCTGGGGACTCAGGATGCTGCCAGAGCTCTGTGAGAGTCCGTGATGGCAAAGCCAGCTACCAGTTGTTAATCCCAACACAACATAGGAGACACTTTCTATCTCCTCCTGTAATGTTAATGCAGCTGGAATTCCATAAATCAAATCTCAGCAGTAAAAAGGTTAATAAGTTTACACTATATAATTGAAAGCCATATTGGTGATTAAAAGGATTTTATATATCAGTTTTCTGGGTCACCAACTAATTATTTTTGGTGGCCTGTAATAAAACATAGCACCATAGGCAGATAGAGGCTGTAATCACATAATGTATGAAAAAAAGCATTCACATTTATTTGAGATGAGGTTGTGTACACCAGCTTGTTGAACAGCCTTTGAGGCATCTCTCTCCTAGTTTGGAGACAATGGGAGAAGTTGCATGTTCTGTGTGGTTGGTGAGGTTCATCCCAAGTTGTTGGTTTGGTTTTGAGGTCTGGCAGTGTCTCTCCAGAGCTGAGCCCAAGGGAACCAGCTGTCACCTGTGATGGAAAGGCTCTGCAGAGGCACTGGGGATCAGATTGCTATTATAATTCATTTTAATGCATTCTGCACATACTAATCATTTATTGGAACAGGATCTTCTGTAATAGGGACATGACTAGCAAGAGACAGAGACAATTGATCATCCTTGCCCAGAAAGGGTAGTTTAAAAAACAAACAAAACCCCTTCCCTTCTGTACAAGGGGCAGGTGTGAGTGCATGTATGAGGGATTGGGTATTCAGTGTGGAGATGGAGAAAAATTGGGCCCAAAGCTTACATTGAAATCTCTACAGGAAAAAGGAAACCTTCTGTACAAGGGGCAGGTGTGTGCATGGGCATTGTGCATTCAGCGTGGAGAGGGAGAAATTCTGAACTCAAAACTTGAATTCAAATTTCTACTTTTCTATCAAGGTGAAATGCCCTTTCTGGAGCCAGAAATTCAGGCACAGACATTCCAAACTCATGCCTCTGTTCTGCAGGTTGTGTGTTTTTAGTGCATTTCTCAGATTGCATCCAGAAGCAGCTGAGGGCAGGGGCAGATGTGGGGTGTGCAGGTGGATTTGCAGGGGGGGGATGTTTGCATAAATAATTCAAAGGTCACTTCTGTAGTCTCTGGGACTTCCTGTGGTCCTGTGTGAGGTGACACAACCACAGCCCCTCTAATGGGTAAACAATCCACTGCTGGTCTCTGTTTTGCTTGGTGAGCAAAGGGCACAATGCAGTGAGTGTTGGGCACACCGTTCCCATGGTCAGGGCAGGATCTGAGATGTGACCAAAACAAATGACCTGATGTTCAAATCCCTCCTGGACATGCAGAGCCACTTTAGGGAGCAGGACCTTCTGTGACAACTGCTTCTGTAATATTTGTTAGATCTTTTGGCTACAGCTCCTTAATTGACAAATCATTAACTCTTGAATGGCCAGTGCATAAAATCAGTGCCATGACATATTATACTGTAACGAGTAAAGGTTCAAGTCCTCTGCCACTAAAATAATTTGCTTGTCATCTCCTATATCTAAATAGGAACTTTTTCTGCACTGAAAAGACCATATTTTTATTCAAATGAAGCTCTTAATGTGTTTCCTAGCAGCATAGCTACAGGGTGTGATACTCAGTTTTAAACACAGGCTGGGGAGGTTAAAAGTGGAATGGCAGTTGGGTGAGTAATGGCCTGTGAGTCAGATGCTAAACTTGACTTGACAACCTCCATGTCGCCACCAAGTCAGAAGTCATTCCTGTGACATTTTTGAGGGTAAAGAAGTAAAAAATAAGCTAGCAGTTTCCACTGGTAGAAGGCCATATCCTGGCCCTCTGAACAAAGACTGACAAGGGGGAAAGGTAAGCAGCAGCCATAGTGCAAATAAGGAAAATGAGAATATAAATTGCACCCACAGTTATAGGTGGATATCTACACAACTGTAGAAAATTGAAATACTCCAGGTGTGCCCCTCTGAAGTTCAAAGGAAAAGCATTGTGGTTAAAGGGTCTGACCTGTCTGATGCTGAGCAGGCTTCCTCTCAGGGCTCTTTGCAGCTAGAACTTGGTTAGGTTTGCTTTGACCAATCTGGGGCTAAGAGAGCCAAATAACACTTCTGCAATCTGCTGCTGTTCCAGGCTGGAACAGCAGAACTGCTCGCCTTGCTATCACTGTTCAGCCTTTCTCTTTGGAGAGATTTTTGTCACTGGATTGGTAATATCAGGAAGTTGTTATTTTTTCACACATAATCAGCAGCAGAGAGTGCACGGTCCTGTTCCAGCCTCCAGGTGCTTAAATACGTCTTTGTTAAAATTGACAAAGAGAGTGAGAAGGGAATGGAAAGAGATGACGAGGTGACCTTGACAAAGCCTAGTGCTAAGGGAGAGCATGGGAAAAGAGGGATTTCATGGCTATCCTGGGAAAGAGCTTCTGCCTCTGACACACACACAGTCCAGTTCTTCTGAAGAAAAAAATCACAACAATATCTAGAGGGAAATAGCATATCCTGTCTGATAGCACTGATAGAGATAACAAAAAGGAATTTGAGCATCTGCTGGTTTTAGTTCACTCTTTGTGACATGCATAGAGTGGTGTCCTCTGGATAGGGCTTCTGGGTGATATATTTTAGGTAGCACAGGCAAGGAAGGGAGGATCCAACAACTATTCTGTATCTGACCTAGAACAAGAGGTCAGGACCATAATATGGCCTCTAGTACTACTTGTCACTGAAATCCTTTCACTTCACGCCTTATTGCATAAGTTCAATATACTTTTGGGCTAAAGCTCTCCCCAGCACTTAGCTCTCTAAACTCCCTACTCAGCAGGTGGCTTATTTAAATGTGGCTGTCAGCTTGGCCAGTGGCCAGAAGCAAATGGCTCGATGCTGAACCGCAGTGTTTGGGTTTAATCCTGCTCTGCTCCTGCCAGCACAATCCTCCTGGCTCCGGTGGGGTTGTGTGGGGTACAAGTGAGTGCAATATAGGGCTGTCTGCTCAACTGTTTGTCAAATAAATCTATGGCCAGTGGCTTGCATTATGTCAGCTAAACATTTGCCTGGCACTTTTGCGTCTGCGAGCCAAGGAGGAATTCTGGGTTGTTTGAAATGAAAACCATCATTGTCAAGTCTCACTTAACCAACAAGCATTTCTTCCGTCATGTGTAAGTAACTTATTTTGCAGCCCACAGCCTTAAAGAGGAAATGTAAAGTTTTTTCTAAACATCCAGTGCAAATGGGGATATTAGCTGCTTAACTGATTCTTCGAAATTTGGGACTTATGCCTGAGCAGGTGAGATGGAGGGAGAGGGGAAGCACATGGTTTAAATTAAATATATGGAGAAAAACTGCCAAATGATAAAAATATATTTTAAAAGTAAGCAAACCTGTTTTCCCTCTGCCTCTCCATTAAATGTGTCAGGAAAGGGCCTTTACAACTAGGTGGTAATTAGAGAGGAAAAAGCAATGCTGTCAGAGCAGTCAATCTATCACATCCTCTACTGCCTAAATGTTACCAGCAATTAAACAAGTTAGTAGGGGAAAAGCTTGACAAGCAAGTTTTATCACCGAATCA